TTTTCTAATTCAGGTTCTAAAGTAACTAGTTTTTGATAGGTGGTTTTTATATGGAAAATTAATGGTGATGGTAATTCTGTGATTTTTTTTCAGAAATTTTAGATGATTATTAGGGTTTTAATACTAAAAAAGAATTAGCGGTGGTTATAGGAGTATTTAGGATAGTTGGTAATTTTCTAGTCTTTGTAGTGGACTTTACATATGAAGGAGTAAAGTCACCTAAAGATAAGCTTTTAGAGGGTGTGAGAACTATGAGCCTCATGGGGGCTTCATTTTTTAAGGGAGTTCCTTATAAGAACTCACGAGTTAAAAAATTAGGTAAAAATTTATTTTTTCCTTTTATAAATTCTATTTCAAAATCAAAACAAGAAAGAAGACTTTGCTATATAGCAAATTTTTTTTCTGAAACAACATTTTTAACATCCTCTTCTAAAACTTATTTTACAAATTTACAATTGATTCTTAAAGGGAATTTTTTTATTTATTAGATTACTTTTTGAAATTTTTGAACACAAAGAATAATACTTCAAATTTCCTTTTTAATAGTACTATATTTAAGTTGGGATTCTACCTAGACCACTACTAGAAAAATTAATATTTGTGACGAATTTTGTGACGGAAAAAATAGCGTCGCTAATAGTGACGCATTTTGTGAGGGAATTTTAAGTTTTGTGACGGATTAACATTTATTGACTTTTATGACGGATTTTGTGACGGAATATATTTCGTCTCTAAAAATCCGTCACAAATTTCGTCACTAAATAAAAAATAAAAATTTTGTGACGGAAAAATTTTCGTCTCTAAAAATCCGTCACAAATTTCATCACTAAACAAAAAAAATGTTTGTGACGGAATAAAGGAAGAACACTCTTCAAGTGATGCAACTTCTTGGGAGAAGATGAATCACTTTAAAACTCACCACACTCTTGTATGAAGAGGATAAGAGAATTGGATTGAAATCAAAGAGAGCTTGAGACTTTTAGGGAGAGAGAATTTTGAATAGAACTCGACAATTCTCACTAATAACATCCAAAAGTGTTTAAAAAATGTAAGAGAAAACTTATATAGGGAGGAGGTGGCTTGTGGTGCAAGCTAGTCTAACCATGGTTCAAGGAGAACCATGGTTAGCCTCTTTGCACTCAAGCTAACTGTCCTAGTCACTTGGAAGCTTGTGGAACAAGCTAATCTTCGAAGCTTGTGGAGTAAGCCAAGCTAGAAGCATCTATCACAAGCTAACCAAGTGTGTGGGAGAAGCTAGGAGAAGGAAACTGACCATAGAGGGCTAGGTGGCCAAGCTTGTAATTCTCCACTTAATCCAATCCAAGAATGTTGGAATTGGCTTAGTTAGGTCCACCTAATGAAAGTGAGACCTAGCTAAATCAATTCCTTGGATTAAATGGAGCAAAACAAGCCTACTATGTAAAAACTAGCCTAGGCCCAATACAGGCCCAATTACTAGCTTCACCCACACACTTTATTATTTATCACCCCACTTCTACTACTAAAAATATGAAAATCAATGAACCTAAATACAAGGTCAAGTGGAGCAAAAGTCTCCAAACAACGTACCCTAAAATCCTAAAGGGATGACCTATAAGAAAAGGAAAAGGGTGCCTAACAAATACAAAGGCAAAATATACCTATACAAGTACTATTATGTACAATGTATATACAATGGAAGCTAAGGGACTAATAAGAAGAATCATACTTAATGCTCATGAATAACATAGGTTTATGAAGCACCTCCTTTATAGAAGCCTCTTCTAGCCTCCTAACCATGGACCTAGTTAAAGGCCTAATAGTCTTCAAATGTATGGTCTCCTTGATGGTTTTCCATCAGACGCTCCTTCTTGGGAAGGATTTGTCCTTAGATCCAACTCCTCCTCATCAATGTTAGCATCACCTATATAAGGCATAAGATCAAAGACATTAAATGGATTGCTAACACCATAATCAGAAGGTAGATCTATCTTATATGCATTATCATTAATCCTTTGGAGGACTTGAAATGGACCATCTCCTCTTGGACTTAGTTTGGACTTTTTTGTGTGTAGGAAATCTATCTTTTCTTAAATAAAGCCAAACTAAGTCTTCTTCCTCAAATATAAGTCTTTTTCTCTCTTTGTTGCTGTATTCAACATATTTTTGAGTTTGTTTTTTAATTTGTCTTTTAACCTTCTCATGGAGTTTCTATATAAAATCAGCCTTAAATACTTCTTCTTTATATAAATAAGAAGAAGTACTAGGAAATGGAAGTATATCAAAAGGAGTGAGAGGGTTAAAGCCTTAAACAACCTCAAAAGGAGAAAGATTGGTAGTCTTATGGACTACCCTATTATATGCAAATTCTACATTTGTAAGATGTTCATCCCAAGACTTCTTGTTGTTTTTCAAAATTACCCTTAATAGTGTGGATATGGATCTATTTACTACTTCTGTTTGCCCATCTATTTGTGGGTGAAAAGTAGTACAAAATAAAAGTTGAGTTCCTAGTCTCTCTCAAAGTGTTTTCCAAAAATGACTAAGGAACTTAACATCCCTATCTGAAACTATTGTTTTAGGGATTCTATGTAATCTAACAACTTCTTTGAAGAAGAGCCTTGAGATATGGCTAGCATCATCCACTTTGTGACATAGTATAAAGTGGGCCATCTTTGAAAATTGGTCCACTACAACAAAGATAAAATCATGTCCCCTTTGGATTCTTGGGAAACCAAGTACAAAATCCATACTTATGTCAATCCAAGGGGTGCTAGCTATTGGTAGAGGTGTGTAGAGTCCATGAGGCATAACTTTAGATTTTGTTTGTAAACAAGCTATGAATTAAGAGCAATACCTTTGGACATCTACTCTCATGTGTGGCCAATAAAATATTTCTTTTATAAAACTTAGAGTTTTATCAACTCCAAAATGGCCCATGAGACCTGTCGCCACCGGCCCGAAACGGGCTTTCGGCATTCGCGAATGATGGTTGGACTCGTTTATTTGTTTAAAAAATATGGTTTGCTAGAATGACTTATTCTCAAACTGAGACCTCGTCAAACGAGCAATTTTATTAAAATGATTCACCAATCCATATTAATCCCAAGCGGGACCCTCCATGGATTAGTGGTTTTCGCAAAAGGAGGGGTTCATGGAGTCGCCACCAATGTTTTACTCAAAACATTGGAAAAAGGGATAAGGCAATTGATTTTATAAATCAACTTCGGCCATTACAACCAGAGTTGGGTAAGGGAGTCGGTTACGCGTGGGGAAGGTGTTAGCACCCCACAGCGCCCCTTTCGGGTTCCCTATGACAGATTATTTCTAAAATAATAGCGCAAAAATTACTAAATTACCCCTATTTATTATAAGCAATTATAAATTAACTATCTACATGATGACAGTT